GGAGATGAGTGGGAGGACTTTTGCTAAGCTCACAAGTATGCTAGGTTCATGAAAATGTGCTAGATGGTGAGCTTGAGTCGGCCATGGGGTTTAAATAGAAGCCCCTACGAAATAGAGCCGTTATACCCCTTCACTGGGCAAAACGCGTGCTGATCGGACGCACCGATCATTCTAACCGGACCCTGGACCAGCGTCCGGTCCACAGATGTAAGTCACGTGTCATTCTGATTTCAAACTGAGCCGCCAGATCACAACGGCTATATTCTGACCGGACGCTCCGGCAAAACTGACCGGACGCTCAACCCCAGCGTCCGGTCGTTTACAGTAAGGTCCTAAACCGGGTTTTCTTCGACCGGACGCGTCCGGTCCTCCTCGACCGGACACAGAATAGCGTCCAGTGTAATATCCTAGACACAGTGCTGACTCGTCAGTTCGACCGGACCCAGACATTTAGCGTCCGGTCAATTTAGACCCAGCGTCCGGTGCATCACCGACACTGGTGTCTTCTCTGCCACGCCTGACCGGACGCGCCGGTCCACCCAAGACCAGCGTCCGGTCACAGTGAAAACAGTGAGACTGAGTTCCTTTCTTCTCTATCTCCTTCACCCTTGCTCAAATGTGCTAGCCACCAAATGTATCACCTTGTGCACATGTGTTAGCATATTTTCACAAATATTTTCAAGGGTGTTAGTGATCCACTAGATCCTAAATGCATATGCAATGAGTTAGAACATCTAGTGGCACTTTGACAACCGCATTTCGATACGAGTTTCACTCCTCTTAATAATACGGTTATCTATCCTAAATGTGATCACACTCGCTAAGTGTCTCGATCACTAAAACAAAATGGCTCCTACAGTTTATACCTTTGCCTTGAGCCTTTTGTTTTTCTCTTTCTTCTTTTCTAAGTTTAAGCATTTGATCATCACCATGCCATTACCATCGTCATGATCTTCGTCATTTCTTCGTCACTTGGAGTAGTGCTACATATCTCATGATCACTTTGATAAACTAGGTTAGCACTTAGGGTTTCATCAATTAACCAAAACCAAACTAGCGCTTTCACTGTTCGTCGCCTAACCAAATCATTTTTTTAGACACCTTAGAATAGCAACACCCTTATTCCTCCGAGGATTATCCATTGTTAAAATCTTATTGTGCAACAGGGTCCATACAAAGAATCGGGCCTTTGGTTCTGCCTTGCTCGCCAAATCGGACTGATCCTCAACCTACTTAAACTGCCCATGAATCAGCCAAGAGGCAAAAACCAAGCATCTCTCACTGCCATCCGGGTCCACTACTCCCAACGTTCGGCACGCCCAGGTAGCCGTTGCCCCGATGGCCCACTCGCACGCGCACACCGGTTAGCGGTCACCGCGAATCGTGAATGCTTGTGACTACGGGGTGCTAACTATAAAAACGCCGCACATCTTTTCGTTTCGCCATTTCGTTCGTCCCCCCTTCCTGTAGAGAGAAACCCACCGTCGACCCGCCCGGCCGCCCGAGAGTTCTGAATCGAAACCGTCGGCCGCGGCCCGCGAGAGCAGTGCGGGGCGCCCACCGCGATGGCTCGAACCAAGCACCAGGCCGTGAGGAAGCCGACGCAGAAGCCCAAGAAGAAGCTCCAGTTCGAGCGCGCAGGTAAGCCCCGCGCCCCGCGCTCCCTCTCCGCCTCGCGAGCAGACGCTGCCGCTGCTCTCCGCCGCCCCTGGTGCTAAGCGCGTTCCGTGCTCCTTCTTTTGCAGGTGGGGCGAGTACCTCGGCGACCCCGGTGAGTGTGTGCGTGCGGGAATTGGTTTTAGCCCTCCTTTTGCGGTTTTGCCTTTCGTTGGGCTGGTCTTACTTGCTTGCAATATGTTTGATGGAATGCAGGAGAGGAATGCTGGGACCGGGGGAGGAGCGGCGGCTCGCGGTGAGGATCTCTTTGTCGTTGCTGGGTTTGGGAATTTCCGGCGCGAAATTAAGTGGATTTCTAGGTTTATCTGTGATATTTCTTCTTTCTTCTCTTTTGGCTCTGGGGGTGAGAAGTGAGTGTAGTTGGGGGTATTCCCTAGAGAAGCCGAGAAGCTGGGCGGACATGGTGCATTATTTCGCCGCACCGTTTGGTTTGGTGCTTTCCCATCCTTTTACTGCAAACATTGCCTTGTAAAAATTTCATGCATTTCTCAGTGTTGCTATTCGCGTTACGGGTTCGGTTGGTAGAACTATTCAATTTCTTGGCGCAATGTGCATCTTCTTTTGTTGCAAGATGAGGGCGAATGTGCCAGTTCCATATGGGCGTCGCGATTTTGTAGTTACTACCTTGCTTACTCTTCGTATTATAGATGTCATTCACTATAGTATGTTTTCTTGGAGAAGCAGTTACACGGGCGCGTGTGGAGAAGAAGCATCGCTGGCGGCCAGGGACTGTAGCACTGCGGGAGATCAGGAAGTACCAGAAGTCCACTGAGCCGCTCATCCCCTTTGCGCCCTTCGTACGCGTGGTGGGTGCAACGTGTACCAATTGTTGTCCACTCCATAGAATGGGTTTGTTCTGCAGTCTGTCTGATGGAAAGTTATTCTTCTGAGGAAAAATGCAGGTTAAGGAGTTAACTGGATTCATAACAGACTGGAGGATAGGACGCTATACCCCTGAAGCCCTCCTTGCGCTGCAAGAGGTCAGTTATGAAACATGTCTTGTGTATCAGTTAAGATCATCTTCTATAGACATAACTGTTATCATGAAGTCTTTTTCTGTTAATCGGTCTGGTACTACTTACTAATCAGGATTTCAGATTGCGGCCTTTCCTAGTGGTGTAGTCAAAAGGGAATTTACGTGCTGTTTTAGGTACTATTTGTTTCGGTGTTTTCAACACTGTAACCGTTTGTGCCGCGATCGGTTGCCGTTATTCCATGTTTGTTTCTGCGGCAGCGGAAGCGTTCACGGTGGGATGGGATACGGGCGCGTGAAACATCGTTACCGTCCATCTGTCTTATCCTTTTACGCTGCTCGCTGGTCGCATTTTCCCTCCGCTCACTCGTCGTGTGCGGCAACCAAACGAAGCGCGTTTTTCGTTACTAGTGTAACTGGTAGCGGTTGCAACTCTTTCCATTTGCGTTACCACTCCCTATGGGCACCAAACAGCACCTTAGTGTAGATTCCATTTGTATTACCTGAGCTAGCTTCCTTGCTATTGGTGCCTCGATTGGACTGTTATGATCGAAATGCAGAAAACTTTGTCGCCTGCATAGCATGATTAGATAACTTGAGTTTACATTTATTCGATACCTTGAGACTGCATTTCATATAGATAAATTATTTTTCCTAATTGTTCTGGTTAATTAAGAGTTTTAGGTTTCCATATTTTTGTATGTGCATCATTTAAATTCTTGTATTGTTTTTCCTCCCTGTCTACAGGCAGCAGAATTCCATTTGATAGAACTGTTTGAAGTGGCGAATCTATGTGCCATCCATGCCAGGCGTGTCACTGTCAGTAAGTTATCACTGAATGAACTCCTTTTTCCCTCTGTACTATTACACCTAATGGAAATGTGATGCATTTTGGTTACACAATTCTTTAGTGATTCTGCTTCAGTTGGATATGATAAATCTAGATGTTATTTAAAGTGGCAAATTGCTTACAAGTGGAAATAGTAATGTTCAAATAGTGCAAAGTGCAATTATTAACTTTTAATAGGCCATTATATGGTTTGATTATCACCAAAGGCATCAAGAAATAGTAAATATTATAACAGTTATGACTATGACTTAGAGAGTGGACAAAAATTCGGTAATGGTGAAGAATTTAATTCAGCTTTGCATAAAACACTAAAATTGGCTAAGAAATCTGATAACTCAAGGAAATGTATTATCCTAAAATGTTTTCCTTCCTGCTGCAGTGCAAAAGGACATACAACTTGCAAGGCGTATCGGAGGAAAGCGTTGGGCGTGATATCCATTCTGATTCTGATTGCCTTATTCGGGTAACTTTTTAGAGGAGTTAGACATACATTAGTGTTGTGAATGCTGCATGGTTCCTAATCTGTTTCACAGTTAGTGGGTTCTAAATCCAGGCTCATGTATCGTCGTTTTTAGTCTGCGCCTCTGATATATTTGTATTCTTCATTTTGCTGGGATGGATGGGATGATCTGTTAACATCTGTGGAGTATGTTATGTAGCAACTTTTAGCTGAACTGAAGAACCCTGCGCCCAAAGCAGCTCAAGATTGTGTGTTTTGGTCGCTCTTCAACCATTTGTTTGCTTCAGCTAACCATACTCTGCGAACTGTGATGTTTTCTTTCCCGTGATGTTCATGATTTACGCCTTTAGAGATCGATTCAGTCTGCAGTATGGACTATGGAGTAAACTGCATGCTGAAACGCAAGGCTGGATTCGAAGCAGGTCCAGCAGACCCGAACCACTGCTGAAACGGCAGATGCAGGTGCAGGAGGGCCTTTATGCACAGTGGAAGTGAGTAGGACATAGCAGAGAGAACCATGGTTCTTTCTCCTTTTGAACTGGGATCCTGTTTCCCCTCTCGGGAGAGATGCTACTCATATGCCTGTTTTCATTTTTCTTACGACGTTTTCACACGTCTCGTTCCCCAGGTCACAGGTGAAAATGTTATTGCGCGCTGACTGTTGCAGTGTCGCCGATCTTGCGATAGCCGACATTTATTTCTCACATGCCCTTGCCGACATGGAGTTCATGAACATTCATGACTCATGAGATAGGCGCATGATGACAAGTAGCGGGTGCTCAATGCCATAGCCTGATGAAAAGCAAGAGGAGAAATGGAGTCCCACGATATATATGAATGCCAAGATTTGTCAATGCTGGGTGCAAAAAGAATGAAGAAAGCAGAACAAGGATCAGGTGATCATCGATCAGCTCTTCTTTGTAAGCCGTCACGGTTACAACCCCAACTCTAACATTGTGAGGGACAAGAAAAGACAGGTGGACACTGAAGAAGAATTACATCTATCTGTCTATCTGAGAAATGCTCCCCTAATCCTCCTTCTAATTCTGCCTCGGATTCGACCTGCTCGGCGTCTGTTTCTTCAGGCTTGCGCCGACGCCGACGCCGACGCCGCAGCTCTCCCCTGCCGCCGTGGCAGCAGCAGCAGCAGCAGCGTTCAGCGGCTGTGTGCCCGCCGCTGCCATTGCGTCCGCGACCCGCAGCAGCTTCCGCGGCTGGAACCGGAGCCTCTCTCCCGACGCTGCACCATCGCGATCTACAGGTGCCAAGCTTGGCGCGCGGACCAGGCAATGCAGGACTAGCAGCAGCAGAGCACAGATGAGCGGAGTGCAGGCGGCGACGGATCTCATGGCTGGGACGCTTGCTTGCGGCCAGGCGATCGAACCACTAGCCCACTACTGCGATGCGCCAGGCGATTGTGAATTATGGAGAGGAAGGTTTGCAGTGGAGTAGGCTCGGAAGGAAAGGAACCCAGTGATGGCCAGGATCGCGGCACTGTGGCGTGTGAATTGTGATGGGTTGGGTTGCTTCGAGCTGGACTCGTACGATCTCCGTCGAAACCTAACCAGCGTGCGCTGCTCGTCGTGGAGCTTGAGAGCCAGCGTCGTGCGCGTCACATGGGGAGCATGGGAAGCACCGTTGGACCAAAGATCGCGGCCCGCCCTGACCCGGCTGCTCTGCTGCCTGAACGCTTCTTTTCAGAGCGAGTTTCCTGCAGACAACAGTCAATGACAGCGGACGTTGGCACCGTGACTGATTCTGACGCACCAATGCCATCATGTCGCCACGCTGGCACACGACCAAGCTTGTAGCTTGACGACGAAGGCATGCCTCCTCGAGTCCTGGTTGTTCTTGGATGATGTATTGGACAGAGGAAAGCGCCACGAAATGGGGCGCGAAGAGCGAGCGCCGGCCGGGCTCGCGACTGGATGGAGCAACCACGTCGCGCCGCCTCGACGCAATCAATCATTGCTTAGCTCCTTCCTTGTGCATCCAGCGGCGCGCTAGCTCCGGAAGATCTCGCCGGCTCTGCGTCACGTTGTGAGATGCCCATCAGCCCATGACCCCGTCATGGTCTCATGGACGCTTTTGGCTTTAGAGCGTCGATGGCCATCACGACGTCTTAGCAACGTGCACGCCAATGCCATGCCGCTGGGCAATGCAATGCGGGCCGCGGCGAACGAAGCGGCACGCGCCCGCTGAACGCCAGTGGTGGCCGTCCAGGCGCCGTGGCCTGCGTACGATAGGGACAGGACCGCGCGAGAGCAGCTCAGTGCAGACGGTTAAAGCGTGAATGGAAATGAACAAGATTCGAAAGAACTATTTCTTTCGTATCTCTGAAATATATTTATATAAGTGAAGGGGTGTCACGAAGGGACACGACTATTTTCAAAGGATATGTTCTTTGGAGTAAAACTAACTGTCTAATCATATCCACTAATCTTGTAATTGATGGATGAGATCACTTCGTGAATAGATGTCTGTTCATGGCGTCGTTGATGAGATCACCGAAGAGGTGTCTGTTGAGAGACACCGTTTCGTAACACTCCCCCTTGATCGAATCTTCATTGAGATCAATGTAGCTGTAAGCTGAAATTCCTCGAAAAACCCTATGGCAAAAATCTGAGAAATATATGATATGCCATAAAAACTCCTTTAAACCTTATTGGAAAATAAGGAGAAAATAGCATATTTATCTGTGATTTAAATAAACCACTATGTCCTTGGTATCCCGTTAAAAATCCTAATGGAAAAAAATATTGGAGATACGACATAAAGATAACTCCCCAAAAACCTTTTCAGGAAAAATGAGGACCAATATAAAGTGATATGTCGCTAAAACTCCTGTAAAAACCCAGTGAGAAAATTAGGAGAAAATATGACGGCATATTATTGGTATTGCCTCTTGAATAACTCACATGAAAAACCTTTTCAGGGAAAAACCACGGATGAGTTATGAGGGCAATATGTGTCTTTGATATTTCCCACAAAAACTCCGGTGAGGAAAATAGAAAATATGACACATGCTTAGGTTAATATTACCTCACTAAAAACTTTAATAAGAAACTTGTAAGTAAAACTTGTGAAAGAAAATAATATAATATGATGCTGGTATAGGTCAATATTTAGGAGATGTCTCCCCCTGATTCTGGTAAATCTTGAAGTCGCCGCATACCAATTCCATGTACCATTTTTTTTGAAACACAGAAGTTGGTAAGGACTTAGTAAATAGGTCAGCGAGATTATCATGACTTGATTTGTAAGATATTTATTTCTCCGCTTTGTTGTAACTTATGGGGATAAAACAACTTAGGAGCAATGTCCTTAGCGACATTACTCTTTATGTAACATGTTTGCATCTATGTAAAATAAGCAAAATTATCTTCATAGATAATTGTAGGTGATTTAATCGAACCAATATCACATGCCTGTTGTATGTGGTTAATCATTCTGCGAAGTCATACACATTCATGTGATGCCTCGTATAGAGCAATAATTTCAGAATGATTAGTAGAGGTCGCCGTCAGAGTCTGTTTAAAAGACTTCATCAAATAGCTGTACCTCCATGTAAGAATACAAATCCAGTTTGGGATGGGGACCAGATAAGTAACCAGCATCCGTGTATCCAATCATATTGGGATCATGATTTCTCTTCAAGAATAAACCAAGATCCTTTGTGCTACTAAAATATCTGAGGATATGCTTCGCTCCCGTCTAATGACGGTGAATTGGATTTGCACTATGTCTAACTAGTATATTCACTGCAAATGCGATATCAGGCCTGGTGCAATTTGCAAGATACATAAGTGCTCCAATGACACTAAGATATGGAACCTTGGTCCCAATATCTTTTCTTCAATATTTTCTGCATATAGACTGATTGATGCACTAAAATCCCTGAAGGACGGTGCTCAAGTTGTAAGCCTAGATAATATTTGGTCTTACCCAAATCCTCCATCTCGAATCCACATGATGGAATTTGTATCTCAAATGACTGTATGATTATTTCTGTATCATGATGATATCAAAATAACCAATATACACAATCATGCTTAATTATACACAATGTATGTTGCGATTTGTATTTGGATTCAGAATATGAAGTCCATTGGGACTTATACGTCCGAATCTATCAAATTCATTTGATATGCCAATTATTGAATTTAGAAAACTTCATTTTCACACATACCATGAGGTATGCTATGCTGGGTCTCTGCGTGAAACCATATGCTATAAGCCCTCATTGTTCACCACCTTGTTTCTGAAAAGAAACTCTATGAGGGAAGATATTACTGTGGTAATACTTCTCATCATTGAACAAGAGCAATCTCCTTAATTGTCACATTTTAGTTTGACTAAATTTGAGTGTGAAGACACTCTGCCTAGGACTTTTGGTCTGGATCCAGTAAGGTAAAAAAAAGCAATCTTTGAGGAGTATATGCCACGACAATTTGTAGTCTTTAAATGATTGATTCGGTTCTTGAAATCAATATAGCATGTGAAAATGTTAACCCTTTTGGACTCCGAGTCATTTCCCATATGGAGTCAGGGTGTTCCAATGTCCCAGGATCAGAATTTGGGTGCACCGTTGATCCGGCTGGATTTTGATTCGGGTTTTGGATGCTCATCCATTTCGGGTGTCTATCAACTTGAGGTTGGCTTGGATTTACTGATTTGGAGGATATTGTCCTCGGTATCCTCGGACGCTTACTTGGAGCATTATCCTTAGGAGCGGCCATACTTCTCCCCCTCTTCTTTGGAAGTGGGAGTTGAATGGTTTTAATTGGTACCTCCATTCTTTCGGGTGCATTATAAGTTGGATAAGAGGATTTTGTGACACCCATATTATCAGTAAATATTTCTGGCAGATTCTTTGCAATATGATGCAAATATAAGACATTCTAAACGATTAGGTTTAGAATTTTTTGGTACGTGGACGTGAGGATTGCTCTTTTGATTCCTGGCATTCTTAATGCGGTATAAATCTCCCCCTAATGCCTGAAATTATCCTCAAATGTGATTAACATACGGACAATTTATAAATCCCTTGCCGAGTTACCTCTTGGGATCCCTAATGCCCATTGGTATGTTGGGGTGGTGATATGGGTACGTAAAAACATACTCGATGCGTAGATGGGAAATGTTTGGCTGCGGCCAAACTTTCACGTACATACTGTAATGGAGGGAGTTGTATAAGTGCAGCTTGTTGAATTAACGATGCGGTGTGTAAGGCCGCATGTGGGGGGTACGACCCCGGATACCCATGGAGGACCACATGGGCTGTGCCCCAAGGGGCGGCCCAGCCCACAAGATGAAGCCTTGCGGGACACGATTCTGCTCGGCGCCTCCCGCAAGATATAGGGAGGATATCCTGAAGATACTACGAGATCTGTTAGGATACGTATGATCCCATGATTCTTGTATTCTGTTATTACTTTCCGATTATCTCTCAGATCTAACCGACTTGTAACCCTACCCCTAGACTATATAAGGCGGGCAGGGACCCCCTCTAAAACCACGGCATATCATACGATAGCTAATACAAACCAACAGACCACAACAGTAAGGTATTACGTTATACTATGGCCTGAACCTATATAACTCGTGTGTCTCTGTTGCCTTCTTGTTCTTGATCACGCGCTCCTCTGCCGATTAATCTACCTTCGTGGGATATCCCTCGGAGGACTGCCGACGATATTCTATCAACAGTTGGTGCGCCAGGTAGAGGTGTGTGTGCTATTTTATTGTCGAACAAGATGGCTTTTTCCGCAGTCTCTTCGTCCCTCCCGCAGCCTGGCCAGATCTTCACGGTCGGATCCATCTCGTGGGTCATCAACTATGACGGAGTCAGAGAGCTCCTCGAGCCGGAGCAGATCCGATCTGCACCGACCACTCCCGCACCCACAACTGTAGATCTGATCTTGGAATCACTTCCGAGGTCGCCTTCACCAACGACTCGCCGCCCACTTCCTCGCTACCAGAGGAGGCACATCAACAATGATGATCTGATTGAATCCATCGATCGGGTCGATTTGAAAATCGCCGATTGCCTCTCCGTCGCCGAGTCGGCTCTGGACACTTTCGTTCAACGCCGACCACCCTCCGATCCGGATCTACCGGAAGTGGCTCGACAAACTCCGGGGGTTACGGCCCTACCCTTCGGGCTCGCCAATGCCACCGCTACGTACCAAGACGCCCTGAGGGGCAAATTCGCCGACCAGGTGGGAGATATCCATCCCCTCGCCGACCAGGTCGCCGACCGACTCCCGTCGACGGTCAACATGCTGCACGCCAGTCGATGCCCCGGAGCATCCCTCTAAACCATCTTGGAGGAAAATAAGGACTCTGA